AACTTCCCAACGCCACCTCCTATGGAACGGATAAAATCTCCCCGTGCATACTAAAGCATGTGATTGATGATCCAATATCCCTTTCTAAAATATTCGTTCGACACGGCCGAAGATTGGCCATAGACACTGGCCAGGCCCTTTAAACCGCTTCATCCCGGCAATATGCATCTGAGCCCGTATTGTCGGTAGCAAAGCTCATGGCCGAAATTTTAGTTCGTCTATGAGACCGCGTTTAAGGTCCAGATGGACGTAGCTCCCGTTGAAGAGGGACTTGCTAACGCAGGTTCTCGGTTTCTGCATCAGGGTTCGCTGGTCCTTGAGGACCTCTGGGTTGTACGGCCGCAAAAGCTGGAACAACAACTTCAACGTTGACTGCGGCATTTGGGCATTTAAGCAGAACTCCTTCAAATCCGTCAAGAAGCATTTGCCACTAAAAGTGTTTGAGTTTTCACCGGCTTGGCCGTCGTCTACACCGTCTAATCCCACGCGCATATAACACCTACCAATGGAAACTTCTGGACTGAGATGGGGCATATGGCATTCAGGTGATTAGCTCCGTTACCACAGAAGACGTAGACGGGAGGGAGGGGTCATCGGTGGCGGCGTAATATGCCCTCTTCGCACGCTTATTCATCTTGTGGTAGGTGCTTCTGTGAATTCCCCAGTAGTTCCCTTTCATATTTAATTAGAAGTAATACATAAATACCATAAACAAAACTTTACACCGCCATAAACTACACCTAATCAGTGGGATTATGTGCCATTATTATCAATATCTTTGTTCAATTCTAGTGACTATAACAAAACGTTTACTTGTTGAAATGACATACTACATAGCATGGAAAAAGGAGATGCATAACGTACTGCAGTCTCGACAATCTGGATATGAAATATCGATTGAGCGGCCGTGTCGATCTGGCGTGCACGCAGTCAGCGTAAAGTGTCATCCATGTGGCCGTGCACATGACCCACTTAAAAAGGCCAAAATTCGCTTTGGTCCATGCGCTGGCTGAGGACGTACACAGGTCGGGCCGCAGGAGTTCAAGCTTAGCAGCAAAGTCGGCAGGCAACAGAAAGCCGGAGATCGAGCGTCCTACTTTCTTTCTCGGTTAGCCTTCTAGCGTATTTATAGGACCTTATGTTTTGAAATAGCTTAACGATTCGAATCCGGCGTTGTGCTTGATTGAGTGGCATTGTGAAAAGAAAACACAACAAACACGAGTCACCATCATTCCAATTAAATTAGTAAGTTAGTTAGGATAGTTAGTTGGTTGGTGAGTATAGTTAGTCAGTTAGCTAGTTAGTTCGGCTAGCTAGTCGGTTAGTTAGGACAGTTAGTTAGTTGATTATTTAATGAGTTAGAATAATTAGTTACAATAGATAGTTGGTTGGTTAGTTAGTTAGGTAGTTAGCATACTTTGTCATTATTATTAGTACAGTTGGTATATAGTCACTACTTTAGAAAGTTTCATGAAGTTTGACCAAACCTTAGGTTTTTACGGCTTTTGACTTTCAGTGGTCCGTCCAGAAAGGCCATCCGGTTAGATATAGCGATAAGGATACACAAATCATTTAGCCTATATAAATAAAGAATTAACGGAAAACGGTCGATATTTATAATTGTCAGTTGGAAATTCCATTAGTGGAGAAGATCATATGCTATCTCATTATTGCTCTGATTACCATATTCCTCAGCATCTCTAGCATACCATGCTTTGCCTTCTGTTTGTTTTAACTAATTTCTGCTTCATTTGTCCGCTTACCTTTTGGTTCTTTGGGTTGCGCGCTCTGCTAGATTCCATCCGCAATTTCGTCAGATAACGAATCCCCAAGGCTAGTGGCGTAGGTTAGTTCACTGAAATTTAATCCGTCCCTTCACTGTCCACTTGTACCCGTCTGTCTATTAAGGCTCTTTATTGAGTAAACAACATGATCCGCACCCGTTGCAAACCTTTTTCGGCTCTACACGTCTAGATGCAACCTTTTTAAGCACCAGACCAAATGCTTGGGAAAGATCGTCATGAACCAGAAGTCGTGCGGTGGTGGAGTGATAATAGGCTTTGATCGTGGCGATGATTTCTGGCGGTACACAATCGAGTGACGTTATCCGCCCAACGACTCACGCTGAACGGAACCGAATGCGGTGGCAAAATCAACAAAACAGACGGCCGTCGATTGCTGATAGTTATGACGAAATTCAATAATTTCGCCTCATTATGAATGCCTGGTATTCACATTCACGTCCAGCACGGGATCCGGCTTGGTTTCGCCTCATCCTAGAGTTACTCACAGCCTGGAACTGATTGAGTAAGACAATAGCGAAAATCTTCGCAGCAAAGTCGATGAGACTTATGCCGCGGTTGTTTTCTCATCTTGTCTTATCTCCCCTCTTGAGGACAGCTGCGAGGAGGGCTGATCCCCAATCATCAGAAACAGCGTCTTCTCTCCACGCTTGTTCGATCTACTCAAGGAGCCAGGACGCAGGGTTGTCGACAAGAGACTTGCAGATTTCGGCGGTTTTGCCATTCTCTCGTAGTGCCTTGTTGCCTCATAGCCTTTGTATAGCATTGGGGACTTCTCCCTCAGAAGGGCGAAGGGTCGCATGACACTGCATATGTTGGGGAGGGAAGGACTTCAGCTGAAGAGACCAAGGGCGTTGTGGGTTGGGCATCGAAGTTGAGACATTGCTCGTAGCGCTAAAGCCAGCGCTCGACTTTGACCGAGTTGTCAGCAGTAAGGCCACCATTCACTTCGGGATGAGAGTCATTCAATGCAGAGGGCTTACCACTAAGTTGGCGGGAAAGTTGGTAGAGTTTTGGAGTGTCACCAACGTTCGAGGCCTGTTCCATGGAGGTCGCCATCCCAGCCACTATTTCTTACGGTAATCCCTGGTCTATTTTGCCCTCACCTTCTGGAGTTGGCGGAAGGAATAGTTATTACGGAACCTGACTCGAGCCGTCCTAGCAGACAACTGCAGGCTTCTTCCGCTGATCGAGTCACTGCGGCGTCGCTGGGTATATCCAAGGATTTTCTCAGTTGCCCATAGACTGACGTCTTCAGAGAGGACCACTGGTTAACGCCTCCTCTGTTGGGTCGCGTCGTAAAACGGGTCAGATTTCTCCACTCAGGGCCTCGGTAGTGCTGGGTTCCCGGCTTTTTGCGACATCGGGACATCTAGCACGTGACACTTTGGGCGCAGATGAGAGGTGCAATTTCAGACTTGTACGAACCAGGGTATTGTCCGACTCATGGTCGTTACCAGCCTCGGCACCACGCATCGATCTGCTATCGTGAACTCAGCTACGGAACCTTAAGCTGACTAGGATGTAGGCGATCTGACTGCCTGTATACCTGGTCAGCAGATGTTTTTTGCAATGTTGGGAGCACGTGCTGGTGATACGTAGTCGATTCTGGCCTGTAGAGTTAAGAAATCCCTTGCCATTGTCACATCGAGAACCGAGCCCAAAGCGGCCAATAAGCTGACTGTCTGTTGAGTCGTTAAGTCCATTCCGGCTATTCCAGTCCCCGGCAGCGATCAGCAGATCGCGGCGAGGGAGTCATTCAACTAACGCTTTCTGCTGCGAGTAAAACGCCTCCTTATCCAGCTGTTCGGCAGTTGACGTTAGTACGTAGACAGAAACGCCACAGATTTTTATGAAGTGGTCCTTCGGTTGCATGCAGGCCGTCTGGTCATTAACTGGGTTCGCTTGTTGCGAAAGGGCGATCGCCACACCTTGTCTGCCAGGACAGTCGCGTGGGCCGTTGTGGTACAGCGTGAAGTGTGAGTTGGCTCCGGGGTCTTTATTTCCCAATAGCCTGAGTCAGGAAGTCGGACTTCAGACAGGCAGCAGACATCTACGTTGTACTGATTACGGCTGCGTGCGGTCAGACCTTGGGTACCAGTGTCCAGGGACGTTCGCGCATTTCAGCATCCAATGTCAAGAGTCCGTCCCCGATTGATTAGTTTAGTTCGCATATTGTTCGCCCGCACCACTGGACCAGGGTTGAGGACCGCGTCGGTTCCCGCGGACGCCGTAGCAGGGGTCGTAATACTGCAGTCGGACATATTTCATGAGGTTTCTTGGGAATTTTGAGTACAGGCAGGTCCCCAACAGCCGCGTGGATTGTTTGTTCAAAGTTGTCTGCTCTAGCGCTTTAGCTTAAAAGCCTAACCAGAAGGCATCGGTAGCAAGCAAACTTCCTAATGGCGGTTTACGGTTGTTATGTCACAATGCCGTCATCGGACTTTGCGGATTTTTTATAAGGCTTTCAGCGTGCCAGACCTCAACCCTCCACACTCTGGTAGCACTGTCGCTGCTGGTCCGCGACTGCTTATTTGTCAGACCTGGGTCTGCTTATTTCGCAGCTAACTGTCACAAAAGACCGACACCGGTGGACGTTCTGGGCATTCAGAAACTGCCTAAAGGGAACTCGTCCTCCCGTCTTGTACTAAGTTCAAGCAGATACCTTTGGCCGCGAGCGCAAGTTGTTTCCCTTAATCACAAACTCAGACTTTCAATGGCAGTTCGGCTTAGCCCTTTTGATTGTTTCTTTAAAGAAGTACGTAGTGATTATCTAGAGGTATTTTTGCCGGGTACGAGGGAGGTCGAACTGCCCACTTGCATCCATTTTTCGTGGTTTTCCGTAAAGGCCCTAGGCCTGAACGTCAAAGCAAGGAGGGGGATTCGCATTCCATCCTGCAGTTAGGCCAGATCAGTGAACGTCGTCCACAAATAGCCTATTTCCTTGAATCGTTTATGAAATCCATTTATTTAAGGATGCCCGCTCTTGACGAATCCGGATTCGTCTATATACTTGACTTTTATTTGATCGTGTTCCATGTCACTTTGGGATTTAGGCAAGTGTTTACTCTAGATAGTTTCGTCTTAGGCAGGAAACGGAGTTTTCTCTCAGTTTCGTGCATACTTTTCATCTTAACAGTTTATTGAAGAGCATATTCCCTCCTCGCCAAGGTTATGTATCTGTAAAAAATCGAATATATGGACACTGCCTTCGCCCTTGCAAAGGAGGCGCTTGCCGCATGCGAGGTCCCTATCGGCTGCTCCTTCGTTTACAATGGGAAGGTTGTTGCATCTGGACGAAATCATGTATGGTATCTTTCAGAAATTCCGAACCTCTAGGTGAACGAGTACAGGAATGCCAGTCTGCATGCCGAAATATTAGCCATAATGGAATTCGAACAGTGGTGTGCCAATCAGAATTTGGACTTTGCAGAAGTTCTCTCTCAGTCCGTTCTCTATGTTACGGCGGAACCTTGCATCATGTGTGCCGCCGCTCTTCGCTTCTCACTGCCTAGCCAGCCGTTGAAGTAGACACTTTGAAACATTTTTCGCTAATGTCTTACTTAGGATAGTGTACAGTGCCAAGAATGAACGTTTTGGTGGATGTGGCTCCGTGCTGAATATTCACACCGACCCCTCGCCCTGCATACCCTTGGTTTGCGAAGTAGACAATCGTGCTGACGAATCTGTTGATCTACTGAAGCAGTTTTACAAGCTGGAAAATGCCAACGCTCCCGAGAACAAACGAATAAAGAAGCGCCAGTAACAGTTGCTGGTTTATACAGACTTATTCTTCGACTGGTTCTATACGTTTGTAGAGGCCGCTTTTCTACTCGGTGGAATTCAGTTGTCACCATTTCACATTCTATTTTTTTTATTTCAGCAAGTCCTACTTCATCTCCTGCAGTCAGATTTGTCCAGTCTTATCATCCAACCCTCCTGCTTTTTTAACTCCAGCTCTTTTAGATAGCCTCACCCAAAGAGTACATTTTATGACCGTTTAGTTGTTGACTAACTGGCGCGCTTGTATGTCGCAGGTATTAGAACGCTCTTCCCAAGTGCTGGGAACTATTTATTCGGTTAACTACAAGTTGACAAACGGACAGTCGCTAATCTGGAGCGCTATAGCGGCGCGGCTTGACGTCCAGTCCATGTAGAAGGATGCCAACTTAGGGCAATAGCTGAAGTTAGAAGGTATCGGGATTTGTCAGTCAGGGCTTAGTCAACCCTTGATGGCCTGCAAACGGGGCGACCCACACTTCAGACGGGTGGGTCTCGGCGCTTCTATTTTTCCTGCTGTCGAAATAAATGTTACTTTATGCGGACTGGAATTATTTCTTAATTGAACGCACTCCTACAACCTTGTAAGACATGCCACCTTTGGACTGCAAAGACGCCCAATCATACCTCCGGAGGCCATTTTCTTGCCAGTTCATCGGACTGGCCTTTCTTGCTAGTAGTTTGTGCGTTGTTCATAACAAAAGCGTCGAGGGCCTCCGAGAGTACTATGCCTCAGTCAGTCGCGGTCGCCCTGCTGACACACCGCGACCTTTCTCTGGAAAGTGGATTGTCCGCAGCGAACGTCAAGCTTCACCAGTCAGAAGAGACTGACTCGTTTTGGATGACGGAGGTGGTCACTTGCGTTAATATGAGTATATTTTCCAAATTTAAATCTCAAATATTGGTCAATGCACCCAATCGACGATGCAGCAGAAAATTTGTGTCACACTGAGTACCGGACAGCGCCTGCACTAAAAGTCCTTCCCCAGAGGTACACTGCAAAGGTCCTCACACTTAAAAGCCTACGGGCAGTGCATTCGGTAATCGCCTTCGCGAAGCCATCAAAATTAGCCTGCTCCACTAGTGAGCCTTACATGTGTTATTAACTACCACTGGATTTGGAGGGCGACATTCCAGGTGATTTTGCCTTCAAGTTAACACGTCACATGACCAGATCGGACATATTTCATGAGTTTTCTTGAGAATTTTAAATACGGGCGGGTCCCCAACAGCCGCTCGGGTTGTTTGTCCGAGGTTGTCTCCTCTAGCGCTTTAGCTTAAAAGCCTAACCACAAGGCAGCGGTGACAAGGAGACTTATTTACTGGCGGTTTACGGTCGCCATGGCACAATACCGTCATTGGGTTTTGCGGCTTTTTATAAGGCTTTCAGCGTGCCAGACCTCTGCCCTATGCACCCTGGTAGCTCTGTCGCTGCTGGTTCGCGACTGCTTTTTCGTCAGACCTGGGTCTGCTTATTTCGCAGCTAACCTTCACTGAAGTTCGTACCAGTATCCGCCACCTGTGGACGGGCCGGGTAGCCAGCAGCTAGGCCAACGAGCAACCCGTCTTCCCGGACGGTGTTGAGTTTGCACCCGAACACCGACTGACTGATCTCGACTATGCCGATGGTATCGCCTTATTTGCCTCAAGTTTTAGTGATATACAGTCTATGGTATCACGGGTGAAAGAAGTCGCTAAATCGGTCGGTTTATCCATAAACGCTGGGGAAACTAAAGCGTTTTCAAGCTGCATCCCTGACTAGGAGAGGGCACCCCTCGGGATTGATGGCTGTCAGCTCGAAGAAGTAGACAGTCTTAAATACCTCGGGGCGAGGCTGCTGCCTAATGAACAGAGTAAGGACGACATTGTCCCCTGAATCGATGCTGCGCGCTGGGTTTTCTCAAGCCTTCGGAAATGCCTGTGCATCCGACGTGACCTCTCTATCGCCTTTAAGATTCGCGTGTACCGTGCATCTGTCCGGTCTGTCCTTCTCTACAGTTGTGAATGCTGGGCTTTGCGTGTGGATGACGAGCGAAAACTGGAGGTATTTTACCACCATCGTTTGAAGACCATCCTCCGAGTTTAGTTCACCGACTTCGTCTCAAATGAGACAGTCCGCGCTCGCTGCGACAACATTGCAAGGATAACTCAGATCACCCAAGAAGGACGACTGAGGTGGTTTGGGCATGTTCTTCGTCGTCCACTTCAGGAGCTCAGTGTTACTGCCCTCGATCCGGTACTGTTGCCCCATTGGACGCGTCGAAGAGGGGGTCAGTTCAAAACCTGGCTCGACACAGTTCGTTAAGACACGGAGGTGGTTCTTGGACCTTCGGTTTTCGGTCTCCGTCGTTGGCGAAGGACATGGGTTGAACTGTCCAGATCTGCTGCCGCGGATCGCTACGCGTGGAGAGGTATAGTTCGTGATATCATCGAGGCCGGCTATATCAGACATGGTCGCAGCCATATCAAGTACAAGTAAGTAAGTCACATGACTAAGTTATCTTAATTAATGAGTATGGCGTAGTTGGCAAGTTATCTGCCTTCGATATAGCGCACACACGATTTGTCCACCACCCCCAGACGACAATTTTCTTCAGGACACACGATTTGTGTCTCGCATTCGCACGGACAAATGTTTCCCGGCGGAGGCTTCACCTGCTTACGACTGTCGCTGGGGTTTTGACCAAGTCGGACAGAAAGTGGCTCTTGATTGATCCGATGGCTAATTGCGTCTTTGCTTTGCCAGTTTAACGGAAAATTGACCCAACGCGCAGGTGATTGGCGCGGCCCAACGCGCGCTTTGGAGCTTTACTCCACATCCCCTGGTCCTCAACGAACACTTGACCAGGATTTTGACCAGCAACGAAAGCGACGTGGATGACTGGACATCCATGCTCACGACCTGTATACCCAGCGGGAGCGCAAGCGCATATATCGCCAGAGAACCAGGTGCGGGAGAACTGCCAGTGCACACCAGACTGCGAGGGCCACGAGTTGCCGATCATAACATGGTGGACGCTCACAATCGTTAAGGCCCAGAAGGGTGACACGCAGCCCTGCATTTGCTTGCGCCAGCACCCTTCAAAGGCTGGGTTACCAGCCATTCAACGACTGAAAGGCACTACCTATTAAGTAACACACACTTCTCATGACGGTGAGTGTCACAGGTCACTTTAAGAAGGACCCCTGGCAGCCTTGCTTTCAGTCCACTACTCCACACAAACATACAGATGGGCAGTCTGCGTGGGCTGAGTTGAGGAGTCAGTCGGCAGCCCTCCAAGCCACGGTGTTGGCACACCGCGATAGCCTCAGACCCGGATCACATGCAGCAGAGGGGCCGCATGGGGACGGAGCTGATAAACACACTTCCTACGTGCGGGGGGATGTGGTAATCGAGTGCTTCCAGTGGTGATGTCGTTGTGTCATGTAGGTGCTGGTGAGGGAAAGTTTGATAGTGTGGTGTAGCCGACGATTGTCTACGTCAGTTCTTAGTGAATGCGCATGTGACCTTATAAGTCCATGCGCTAAGTGAATGTACGGGGGCAGTTGAGGCGGGCGCGGTAAGTGGAGATTGGAGCTTCAGACACTGGTTCACCAGTCTCCGTACGATGGACTCGCAAGTGACCGACCAGGCCGATATGTGAGATGGACGTACGATCGCATATACGATGGTCGTCGCCCCGATAATCGACGTAGCGATAGTCGGCGGATTGGTATTTCACAAGTTTGATTAGTCAACACAGACCAGCAACACTTGCAGGTCTTCAACTAAGTCAAAGCCTCGTAGGTTGTTAACATATCAAGTATCGTGCCGACAGTTTGTTGACTATAGTCGTTGTGCTCGGATGCCAGGGTGTCTGATATTTTCTCATAAGCCAGGCAGCCTTCCCTGCCGGGCTCAGAGGCTTGACAACACTCCTTCCTGGATGTCTGACAGTAACGCTACCTCCGAGCCCATCTTTCCTCTAGCCGGTGAGGTAGCTGGATTGTAGAACTGGTCCGTCGCCAGTTCCTGAAACAATCTTTAATTATAAAGAATAACTAGAGTGCGCTCTGGGTATCACGCATTAATACTCCGCAATTTGTCACGACCATGCCGAGTACAGAACATGACCTCAATGCGTAATTCACCGAAGTTTGAATCATTACTATGGTAAGCAGTCTCTGCACTCCGCAAATCGACCTCTCTGGTCGTCCCGGACCCTTCTAGGTGACCAAGAATGTATGCTTGTGTTCGGGGATTTTGTTTCGGACTTGAGCCACCTATGTCAGTACGGCGAAGAGACTGAAAACAAACAGTGGAAAACCCGCACCGCAGAGTATACACTGAACTGGTCGGACCATCATCCTCTGGCACTTCTTGTCATTCGAATAACACTGAATGCCGATTAAGGCTACAGAGTGGCTGAGCTAGTGGCCGGCTCTACCTTCCGAATTTTAGGCCCAATATTTTGTAGTGCTGACGAGGATACTGGCAGTTTTGTACACCTTTGACAACTCAGTCGCGCGTCTTTACCTCTTCTATCACGAACTGCATCGCCCGAGTATTATGTGATTAGGTGCGTGTCTGACTGAAATAACGTTCTGGTCTGGCGTGACACGTTCGCAAGCCGCTGTATTCGCCCTAAGAATTTTCGTCAGGGATAGTCTTCAGCAGCCGCAAGACCTTGGGGTTCCTTTGCAGTGACAAGGAGGGTATCGTCAGTGTTGATCGGGTGTAGGCAACTGCTTCAGAGGAGCCACCGGATTAGTCTCGCAAAAAAATATATCCTGAGCCCTGTCGCTTTTCCCCCAATGTACCCTACTTTCAACAGCAACTTTATTCCCCTCCACCAACTCTCCATACACAGGCCTTTCAAACTGTCCCTCCAGTGTAAAGCACGCGCAGCGGACGGCATGATCACTTTCTAGGTCACTTAGTTACTTGTGTTTTTTAGACGTGTAAGCCGCAGATACTTGGGGCCTTCACCCTACCGTTACCGTGGAGATCTTCGGCGCTGCATCTCGCCGCCTGCGGTCTCTCTGAGGATATTGTGACAGTCCGCGTTCGTAGACACCAGCTCGGCCGCCTTACCATACCTTTTTGGGTCCGTCTAGCACCCCCCGTAAATTGAATGCACCCGGCGTGACTCGGCCACCAGTGTGGCGTCAGTTTGACGCCGGTCGGGATTATGCCCTTCGCCAATCGGTCGCGCGCACCTCGTGTCACGACTACAAACAACAACCGCTGACTCACCGCGTGATGAACTTTTGCTGCCACCGACCTCACCGCCGGTTGTGCTCCCTCTGTCTCAACTAAGGCTTTCCCGCCAGCCCTGTCTCCTTGGCTTCGGACTTGGAAGACATCTCGTTGTCCACCTAACGCCTCGTCAGATATACCAGTGATCTTCGTGACAGGTTTCAGAAGTAAGGATAGTGAAAGCATGCCTTATCTCTTGCACGATGCTAGTGGTTTTCTGGGCCACCTGGAGGAGGAGGAGGTAGCCTAACGCCTAAATTTCCGGGACACCACTTTCTACTTGTGTCGTTTCAGGGCGTCTGTTGCCAACACCGGTTTTTCATTCTCTGTGGCAGAAAACCTTCCATTCACCCCAAAAATAGTACATTGTTTTCCGCACTCCCGGATCTTTTATAGAAGACGCCGATGGGGTCTACAAGCAAATGCATTCCTGAAAGCAAAAAATATCTCATCCACTGGATAGCCCTGATTTATGACTTCTGCCCATTTGTCTTGCGAGTAAAAAAACACTCATAGGACAAGTGCGATTTCTGCTAAAGACCGTGCTGGCCAGCACGTAGTAGGCCCCTCTGCTCCACCTGCGTAATTTAATGTTTCTTAGTAAGTCTTTCCACGATGTTGCATAAAATGCAAGTTAAACTAACGAGAAGATAATTTTCCGGCTAAATTCCAGACGCTCTTTCGTAGGTCGGTAGGTCAAAGGAAGTTTCCATTTCTCCAACAGTGCTTCGTCTTTTGTATATTTTCGATTTATAGATGTCGGTTCGTATCGCCAATCAACAAGTTTCTGAAGAGCGGGTGGATGCACTCCAGGTTGGTCGGATGATTTGACTTGCTTCATTTGAAGTGGCTCTGCCTCAGCCAATGTAAGCTACATGTAAAGGTCATTCGGTGGTACGATCGATACTAAAATTTGTTGCTGCTTTTAGCGGCTGTACTGGTTAGATAACGGGGAATGGGGAGGAGGGGCTTCGTATTTACACCTACCCTTCGGGCGAACTATACGGACTTCAGACCCACTAAAGTATTATGAACCCGTTGCGGAAGCCTCTCAGGACTACCCCGAGCACCCCATGTTAGGATCACTGAAGCGTTTTGCACCAGTCCCTTGAGCTCAGGGGTACTGAATCAAATACACCGCCCCCCCCCCCCCCAAGTTAAGGTGATGTTGAAGCGGTCAGCTCAACCTCCTGGGAAAGACAGAGAGGACTGCGAGATTATGCCCCCCTCGGGAAGAGATTGTCAAGATGGCGAACGAGCGCACTTATCTTACTTGACATCCGGTCGGAAAGCTATGCAGGTGCGTTGACCAATTATGCTTGGGGGTGAACTGACTTTGCCCTGTCCCTTTTTGGTTACTTGTTACAAGATTAACATCCTCGGAGTGGAGGCAGATCAAAACAGTGGATTGACGCAGTTTGAATTAGGCTTGGTTTTTATTGAACAAAATATATGACAAAATAAGTAGTCTATTCGAAGTCCCTTCGAAACATTTGTTCGGAAAAAAATTAAGCAAGCGAATGATATAAAATGAGCTAAGTTGAAAGTAAGTCCTGAGTTGACGTTAATTTTACTTTCCCTTGTGTGGCTTGGTCTTCTCGAACAGGGGCTGCAATTGGTCTGTATTGTAGGCGCTGTGGATTTGCTTTAAGCTCGCCTTTGCGGTCGTCAGTGTTGCGCCTTGCGTTTTCTCAATCTCCTTCTCCAGACATTCCCAGGCATCTTTGAATTGGATTGTCTTCGTTGATGTGCCCTTCGGTTGTTGAAGCACCTGATGCCTGATTTCTACAATCTTGTTAAAATCCACATCTTCTTCCTTGAAGTAGTTGAAGGTTTTGGCCAGCGTCTTTATGTCACACCTATGAAACATGCTCGCGAGAAGCGCAATGGACGGCACTTCAGTTATCTCCATCGTCTGTGCACCCTCCTTCGATGTATTCCAATCTAGTATGTAGGAAGGCTGCAGAGGTTTCGCCCCGTGTTGCATGAGAACTCGGATGCACTCATGAGCCCGATAGCGGCACGCATAGCCCAACAGCGTGCCAACTGTAATATGCCTTTTTACGGGCTTCAAACTCGTGATGTCCTCAAGGAAGAAATATCGCAATGTGTTATTGGGGCATTTTCGAGCGTAGGACTCCACGTAGTCAAAAATTTCTCTCTCGATGGCCTTGATTACTCTCTGATCGATAATGTACGAAGGTAGGATGATGTCCCCATGAGGGTTAGCTGGCCGGCCACGAGCGAACTCCATTTCCTGGAGCAAATTCTCCATTGGAATCTTGGAGTTTGGTACATAGGAGGACATCTTTCTGAGTTCTTACGCCGGCACCAGCCGCTCTGATCGAGAGCCCTGTTCAAATGCCCAGGATATTGATCCCCACTGTGCACATTTGGGCCGGCTTGAACACCCAATTCCCTTCCAGCCCTTATTCTCTCTGCCGAAAGTAGCCTAGCCTCTGTGAATAAAAAAGCGTCCTACCAATACACTGTACTAGCATTCACTTCAAATGTACGTTGCAAATTCGATGGAGGATGTAGAGCCATTTTGGGGGCATAATTGTAATTAAGCGGTTTAAAGGCGCAGATTCGAAGTCGGTTTTGCTAGGAAGTAGTGCAACTATTATCGTCTGTTATAACTAAGTAAATTTGACGGTTCCCACTTCTCCTAATTTTGCGTATGTCTTAATGTCATTCTTGCAGGTAGTTCTGTCTCAGTTTCGCATAACTTTTGTTTTGAGTACATAGAACAACAAAAGTTTAGGAGAAAACATTGAAGCACAACTTTCGTCGGTTTTTGTGCTCGAACTGGCAGCGTAACAATAGGAGTTGAAGGCTGGCAGATGTCACGAGCTCTCGAAGTCCTGTGCACTTTAAAAGTAATTTTATCGCGGGCACTGTGGAATACTTTCCAAAAACTTATAAAAATCCGGGTGTTTTAGGCAAAGCCATGGAAAGTAAGCTTTGGGATCTAGGATACATCCAGAAAACATAAGCCATAGCACCCGTTTTTTGCGTATCTAGCTTGCGACCGAGCGCCAACATCCTAATGCTTGACACTATGTTACATCAAAATTATCCCCTTCCCAGCGAACGGTCTGACACGCGGTAGCTTCGCAGCAAGACCAACTTCAACGCGAAGAAGGAGACACGGGCGCTGAAACAAGGAATTTATTGGCCCGACGTTTCCGACTCACTCTCGAATACGCCTGCGGCCCCCTACGACTGCAATGCGCTCACACAACAGCTTGACCATCGGAGGTCCTCTTATCTGTGCTCAGAAAGGGAGATAAGATGAGATGCAAGAACTATCTCGATATGAACCTTATCAGCGGAAAGGTCGGCCAGGAATAACCGGAAAAAAATTGTGGCCGGAATAGCAACCTCCATGGAACAGGCCTTTAAACTTGATGACACTCCGAAACTCTGTCAACTTGTCCGCCAAGTTAGTGGTAAGCCCCCTCCACTGACTGACTCTGAGCGCGACGTGAATGGTGGCTTTACTGCTGACAACTCGGCCAAGGTCGTGCGCTGGCTTTAGCGCTACGAGCAATGTCTCAATTTCGATGCCCAACCCCACCACGCCGTTACTCTCCTCTACAGCGGACGTTCTTCCCTCCCCGACATATGCAGGGCCATGAGACCCCCCCTCTTCAGAAGGAGAAGCCCACAATGCCATGCAAAGGCCAAGCAACAACAAGGCACTACAAGACGATGACAAACCCGCCGAAATCGGCAAGTCTTGTGTCGACACCCCTCCGTCCTGGCTCCTTGAAGTGATTGAACAAGCGTGGAGAGAAGAGGCTATTTCTGATGACTAGAGCTCAGGCTTCCTCATACCTGTCCTCAAGAGGAAAGGTAAGACGAAATTCGAGGACTACCACGGCATACGTCTCATTGACGTCGCTTCAAAGACCTTTGCTATTGTCCTAATCAGGCAGTTCCAGGCTGTGAGTGACCCTAAGATGAGGCGAAATCAAGCCGGATTCCGTGCTGGACGTGAATGTGAGTACCAGGCATTCACACTGAGGCGTATTCTTGAATTTCGCCATGGCTGTCAACAGCCGACGGCCGTCTGCTTTGTTGACTTTGCCATCACATTCGGTATCATCCACCGTGCGTCGCTGTGGCGGATAATGGCACTAGACGGTGTGCCGCAAGCAATCATCGCCATGATCACAGCCCATTATTACTCCAATACTGTACGAGTTATGGTCCACAACAATCCTTCCCAAGCACCCGGCATTCGGGCTGGTGTTCAAAAAGGTTTTATCCTGTCGCCCATCCTGTCCAACTACGCTACTGACTGGATTCTCGAGAGGGTCCTACACGAAGATGACAATGTTGAGTTTGCATCCGGACACTGACTGACCAGTATCCACTATGTCGATGATACTGCCTTACTTGCTTCATGTTTTGCTGATCTGCAGTCTAGGGTGTCACGGGTGAACGAGGTCGCTAGATAGGTCGGATTATCCATCAACACAGGGAAGACCAAAGTGTTTTATAGCTGCATCCCTGGCCAGGAGATGACACCTCTCGAGATTTATGGCTGTCAACGTGAAGAAGTAGACAGTCTTAAATACCTCGGGGCGAGGCTGCTGCCGAATGGACAGAGTAAGAACGACATTGTCTGCCGAATTAATGCTGCTTGTCGAGTTACTTCAAGTCTTAGAAAATGCCTGTGGATCCGACGCGACTTCCCCATCGCCGCTAACATTCGCGTATACCGTGCATTTGTACGGTTTGTCCGTCCCTATGGCTAGGAATGCTGGGCCGTCTACGTGGTGGACGAGGCGAACTTGGAGGTATTTGACTACCGTTGCTTGAGAACCATCCTTCGAGTGGAGTACACGGATTTCGTCTCAAATGAGACAGCCCGAACTCGCTGCGCCAACCTCGCAATGATAACCCAGGCCATCCAAGAAAGACGACTGAGGTGGTTTGGGCATGTTCTTTGTCGTCTACCTTAGGAGCTCAGTGTAACTGCCCTGGATCCGGCACTGTTACCCCATTGGGGGCATCGAAGAGGAGGTCAACTCTAAGCCTGGCTCGAGACAGTTCGTCAAGACATGGCGGTGGTTCTTGAACCTTAGGCACTCGGTTTCCGTCATTAGCGAAGAGAATGGTTTAAACTGTCCAGGTCTGCTGCCGCGGCTCGTCATGCGTGAAGAGGTATAGTTTGGGACGTCGTCGAGGCGCACTAGATTAGGCATGATCTCAGCCGTACCAAGTACAAATAAATAAGTAAGTACATCGCAAGCGACGACTTCCACCGCGTGTTCCGCAGAGTGAGCCCAGCATTGAATTTCACGTGAAGAAAGGTATAGTGGGGCAGATTTCCGCAGCATCTACCTCGCTTTCTCCCCACTCACCTACAGTTTCTCTCTTTTCCAAGAAATAGGGCCTGTTCTTTTAAATAACGAGGAATAGTAGCACTCGTATCACTTACACTAATCCAGCCTGTGGGCGCAAGGCGATATTCCGAATGCTCCGAGCCGACACGCCGCTCCAATCACCCTACACTGTCAAGCTTCCGGGTGATCGAAAATGGACTGGCTTATTTGTTCTTCTCATCAACAATACCTTTCTTTAGAAATTCACCCGTGTCCCATTGGCGCATTTGCGTTTTTACACGGGGTGGGCCTAGAAATTCGAAGGGCCTTTACAGAGAACTGTGTAGCTTCCCGATCACATCGTTATGGGGACTCCGCAACCGTATTTTCTAGGACAGAATTGGAGTAAATCTGTATCCTGTGTTATTCCATATAAATTTGATTGTTGCTAACGCGGCTCTAAATCACAAAGAACTGTTTCATGACAATTGCCCTACCTATTGCATCAGCCCGCGTGTGAAATCCGGATTTAAGCCAGATTTTTTTGTGTTTCTTCAGACCATGTTCAGTCCGTTTTGAAGTTGTACTTTAGGCCGAAGGATCCTATCACCTGTAAAAAAAAGTATGTTATCGATTCCGTGCAGTCTTCGGCATGGACACCCCCAATTGTTTCTGCACTTAGATCTGATTGTTCCGCGCGTATTTGCGACGACTTAAAGCTGACGGCCAGCTTACCAACTAAAATAAGTTCGTATCCATTCCTGCGCACCAGGGATCCGTATGCTACCCATTTCTGATGGTCGACTATTTGTAACTTTGAATCTGAAACATACTTAAAACCAAGTCGTTCTAGATCAGGATTCCTGAGACTCCACGACTACCAATACACAGCAGGATTTTTTTGACAGAAGACTATCACTTGGAGTAATTTCTGCTGCCAGCTCATTTCAGGGCATGACCTATGGCCTAGCGAAGACATACTCCACGTTTACCCATATCTCGACAATGTATCAATAACCTGTCCATCTAGACAGTTGCCTATAGACGCTAAAAAGGCGCTAGCGGGTTTAGAAGTCCGCTTCGAACTCAAGAGGCACATGGCCACGTTTCCTACTGAATTGGTGGAATACTTGGATTTTAAGTTGAGCAAAACCGGCCGCCATCATCTCAGACACAGAGTCGAAACGCTGGAAACGGCACCACGCTCCCAGAAATTTTAATTAGTTGCGTTCATTCCTCAAGTTGATTGCCCACTTCAGGCAATTAATGAGTCAAGAGGCTACAATTTTGAAACTCTGAACCGCGTTCGCAAAAAGAATAGTCACTAGAACTGGTCACAGGTCGCAATGCGTTTGAACAGGCAAAAGTTCCTATTAGCTGCTTGTCTGTCCTGACTCATGACGGTCCCGAAAATCTCGCGCACCAAATGCCTTCCAGTGCTAATGCCGATCGCTTTTGCATCTAAAACCATGTTCCTGGCAGGAACCAACTGCTCACAATTAGATAAAGAAGCCATAGCAATAATGCCGGGCCTATAAGGCTTACGCTTGCATCTTTTTGGCCGGCTCTTCGAAATTCACATCGAGCATAAACCTACCCTAGGCTTGGTGGATGAAAAATGAGGGATGGAGCAATGTCCTCGACAAGAATGCAAAGATTGACAGTCTCACTTTCCTCTCACAACCTATGGATGAAAATATAATGCGGGTAGTGCAGATGTAGTGATCAACATCTTTAGTAGGTACCCAATCGTAGACAATACCGTTAACGAGGCACTAGCTTTTTGGCGCATTAGTCTTCTGCAGAACTTAGTCCCCGCAGCCTTAATCTGCCAACGAACTAGATAATGGACATTCAGAGACCACCCTGTAGCTCGGGCAAAAGGAGCCTTTCAATATGACGGTTCGTCCTCTGCCTTTTCCGGTTTTCAACCATTCTACGGCCGCCATCAGAACGAAGTGAGTCTACAGGA